TACCGGTACACCTCATGGAACGAGGTGTACCGGTAGTTCGGAATAGGAATCCTAGTTCGAACTACCTAGTTTGTGCCCCATGTAGCCGCGCTGCACGGGGTTCGAACCAGCGGGAATGGCGGCTCCCCGCTTATGCAAATGAAGCCCGGGAAATTCAAATCCCGGGCTTCATTTGCAAGTGCGGTATGCCTACATTACCCTTCTAGTGCGAACTAGCGGGGTAGTGTAGACATACCCAGAGAGAGCAGGGCTCATGCTGGTCAGGAACAAGCTGTTGTTGGTCATTTCACTTGGCTCCCTCTGATCTTTGCTTAGAGGGTGGCAACTTCCTTGGTTCACCTGATTCCAGTGCAGGAGTTCCCAGTGTGAGATAGAACCTGGCACTGATGTTCCCACTGGAGCTGTGCCCTGAAGTGTGCTGCCACTTCTGAGTCCAAGCTATGGTTCCAGCTAATCCATGCACAGATACGCAGGTTGGGCGGGGGGGACATTTTCTGTAGGGAATATTGTGACTCCCTGGGGATGTGCCTGTGTCTCAGTACTGTGGTTTTCAGACTATGGGTTGTGACCCAGTACTGGGGGGTGGAATGTCAGGGGCTGGGTCTCGTTGCTCAGGGTGATCAGGTGACCAGTGGAGGAGCTAAGGCTGCTCCCTGCCTGTCCAGGCACCACAGACTATATTGTTACCCAGAAGTAGTCAGCAACAGACCTGGTTCCTACAAGGGAATGGGGCGCGCACAGGGCTCCACGCACTGCCCCCGCCCTGAGCGCTAGCTCCGCACTCCCATTGGCTGGGAACCTGCTGCTGGCTGCTCCTGGGGGCAGCATGGTCTGCAGTTCCAAGAGAGGTAGGAGACTTCCTCAGCCCCCCCTGCTGCACTGCTGACCTGGAACTGCTCAAGTTAAGCCCCTCCTGCTGCAGCCCTGATCCCCTCCCCAAAGCCAGAGCCCCCTCCTGCCCTCCAAAACTCTCACCCTCAGCCCCACCCTGGAGCCCACACTCTAGTTACATGACATTGGGTCGTGGGCATCAACCATTTTTTGGAGCTGAGTCATGAGGAAAAAAGGTTGGAACCCACTGACTCCGGATGTGCATGTGTCTCAGGATCAATGAGCTACCTCACATGAAACTAAAATAAGCAGGGTCCTTCAGCAATGGCCAGTGCACAGCCAGGCAGCAGATCAGGAAGCACTCACCGAGCCCAGAGGGAGGCAGAGCCAGGAGAGACTACGGTATGTACTAGCAATGGCAGCCTGACCAGTGCAGAGTGTGTGCACTGGATCCAAACCGCCCAAGGGTCTTGAAGCCCAAAGAGCATTTCAAGACTAATGGTATGTCTATACTTGCCCCCTAGTTCAAGCTAGGGAGGCAAATGAAGCATACCGAAGTTGCTAATGAAGCATGGGATTTAAATATCCTGCGCTTCATTAGCATAGTCGTGGCCGGTCGCCATTTTAAAATGCCGGTCGCCCGATTTAACTTGCCGCATGTAGATGCAGTAGTCCAATCCAAAACCCTTCCCTCAAATTAACTGTTCCTCAGTACCAGTTAATTCGAGGGAAGGGTTTTGGATTGGACTTCTGCGTCTACATGCGGCAAGTTAAATCAGGCGACCGGCATTTTAAAATGACGACTGACCTGCAGTGTATGGAATTTGGTGGTTGTAGCTCTTACTGTTGAAGAGGAGTTCTTGAACAAACAGACTCACAGATGGACAGACAGATGCACAATTTGAATATAGACAGATATGGTACATTCGTACTTCAAACTTGTATTGGGCATCTTGTATTGGGCACTGCACTACAATATTTCAATCCCGCGCTTCATTAGCAATTTCAAAATGCTTCATTTGCCTCCCTAGTTCGAACCATTTTAAAATGCCGGTAGCCCGATTTAACTTGCCGCATGTAGA